ATACAAGATCACAGTTCTTTGATTTTATGAAGCCAGCACGAGACGAAGGCAGGGTCGCTTTCCTCAATTATGACTTACTTGTAATTGACGGGAAAGTTTTTGTCTATGATGAAGAAAACCATAATATTAAACAAATAGGTCAAAGACGTGGGTGGGTCTCCCGAGATAATCACCGACTTTCTGAATCGTCTCATGTGGCGTCTGATTCGACTCAATAGGATTCCGGCCATGACTTCAGTACTTACAGGAATTCCTCTATTCAATCTGACTTTAATGTGACTGACAACTTGAGATGCCACAATATTACCTCCCACACATCATCGGATTCCTTACCAGTGGTAAATGCATATCCGCCTGACACAACAACAAACAGTGACAGTATATCTAAAACTGATCCCGGTATATCAAAGTGGCTGACAAACACATCTGCTACTGATAATGTTACCCTGGAGAATCCTAACCGAAGTACTGGCATTTGTATCTGGAACATCCATGGCTTGAAATCAAAAGTTAAGTATTCTGAGTTCATAACATTCTGCAAACAGTGTAATATCTTCTGTTTCTTAGAGACAATGTGTACTGATGCATTAGATATCTTGCAAAACATATTTCATGAGTATGATGTATTTGTCTGTAATGCCAAAAGTTCTGCAACTAAAGGTCGGTTTTCAGGTGGCATAGCTGTATGCTTAAGGAAATATCTATTGTCACAGTATAAACAAGTTTACTGCCAGTGGGATAATGCCCTTTTTTTTAGATTGACAAACCCAACCTCTTCTCTGCAATTATTCCTGATATTCATCTATATTCACCCTGAACATTCTCCTGTCTATGTTAATGAAGATGGAACTGGAATTGACAAGTTGGAAGAGCAGCTCTGTCAAATAATCCATGACTATTGGGAGGGGAGTACATTCATCTTATGTGGTGATTTCAATGCTAGAACAGGAAGTGAAGAGGACTTTATCATGAATGATGAGACTGACTATTTACCTATAAATAAAGACTATAAATCTGATAATTTCTCTTTACCCCGTGCGTCATGTGATACACAAATCAATAATTTTGGTAGATCATTGCTAGACCTATGTAAAATATTAGGTATCCATATTGTAAATGGAAGATCTACATCTGATAGAAATGGAGATTTTACTTTTGTTTTCCATACTGGGTGTAGTACTGTTGACTACTTTATTGTATCATCTGAGGTTTTCTCTAGGGTTATTGATTTGGTGGTTCTTAACAGAACCGAGTCTGACCACTTGCCGGTTCTATGTAGTATGGAACATGTCTTCACGTCAGAGTTACAGAGTAAGCAAGCTACAGAGAACACTGTTGGTATTACCCTCACTCCTGTTCCTAAATATAGGCTTCCTATAGACAGAATACCAGCATATCAAGAATATGTTTTTAGCAGGGAAAGTAGTCGAATGTTTGACGATTTTATTTCTGTTTTGCAAACTGACATAAATACTGCAGTCAGGAAATGAGCTGATATACTTATCTACTGTGGGGAAAAGGCGGGGGCAGTCTGTAGATGGTCTAGAAATAAAACCTCTGAAGAGCAACCGTTATGGTTTGATGCAGAGTGCTGTCAACTTAAATCTAAGAAATACATGCTACTAAATCGTTTCAGATCATTCAAGAGTGACTCAAACTTAAAAGACTATTTATGTGCAAAAACTGAATGCAGAAAAAAGTGTAAAACTAAACAAAATGAGTATAAAATACATATGAGTAAAAAATTAACCGAGGCTGCAAATATGAGTGATTGTAAAGAGTTCTGGAATACTATGAAGCACTATTTGAGAAGTAACGCACGACAAGGTGATATAACCCCTGACACTTGGTTTAGATATTTTAAGAATTTATTAAATCCAGATTTTAACAGAGATGTAAATGAATTTGATAAATCAGTTCAGGATTTTTTAGATTCCCATTCATGTCAACATTGTAATTATATGCCTTTTACTGACCAGCTCTTATCAGGTGAAATTACTGAAAATGAAATTAAACAAGCTTTAAATGGGTTAAAAGTGGGTAAAGCAGCCGGTGAGGATGGTATACCCCCTGAATATATGAAAAGTATAACAAATTTCATAAACCTGTATCTTAGGCAGCTTTTTAATAAAATTCTAGATACTGGTGTTTTTCCAGATTCCTGGAATATAGGAATGATTATTTCTCTACATAAATCTGGAAACATATCTGATCCAAGCAACTACCGAGGTATTTCTCTCTTAAATGTGACTGGCAAATTGTTTTCTGCTGTAATTGAAAAACGTATTAGAACATGGTTAGATGTGAATGACCTGTTATCAGAATCCCAAGCTGGATTTAGACCCAACTATTCTCCATCAGACAATATATTTATTCTTCAATCTTTGTGTACAAAATATCTTATCAAACCCAAGGGTCGTTTTTATTGTGCCTTTATCGATTTCAAAAAGGCTTTTGACTATGTGGATAGAAAGAAAATGATGTTTTTACTAAATGATTAACAGGCAAATAGTCAAACGTTCTACAGAGCATGTACTCATCAGTTAAGGCATGTATCAAGACAGATAAAGGAACCACTGAATGTTTCAGAACTTCAGCTGGTGTAAGACAGGGCTGTGTACTCAGCCCTGTCCTATTTATATTTTTCATAAATGAACTTGTAACTGAAATGTATCATGAATGTGATTACGGAGTTTTTGTGTCACAAGATATAATTGATATAATGCTGTTACTAATTTCTGATGATATTGCTTTATTATCATTTTCAGTTAGTGGCCTCCAGAAACAGTTAAATGTTCTCCAGCTATATTGTGAGAAATGGGGCCTTGAAGTAAATTTGAAAAAGACAAATGTTATTGTTTTCAGAAAAGGTGGCATTCTAAATAAATTTGAAAAATGGACGTATTGTAATAAGACAGTCAATATTGTTTCATATTATAAATATTTAGGATTGACTGTATCTTCTCGATTAGCATGGTCAACAGCTTGTAAGCAGTTGGCTCTGCAAGCATCTAAAGCCTTGATTCCTGTCTATCGAGTTTTCAAAGAAAATAAATTTATACCTTTCCGAGTTGTTTCGGACATTTTTGACAGAAAAATAGCACCAATTCTGCTGTATGGTTCAGAAATATGGGGATGTCATTATAATGATTCCATAGAAAAAATTCATGCCATGTACTTAAAACGTTTTTTAGGTGTCGGTAAATATGCCTCTAACAAAGCCATTCTAGGAGAAACTGGTCGTACCAGTCTTTTTGTTTCATCCCAGCTACGGGCAGTTAAATATTGGATAAAGCTACTTCGTATGAATTCAAATAGATTTCCTCTTCATTGTTATAATATGTTAAAAGCCTTGGATGAAAAGGGTAAATATTGTTTATGGGTGTCTGATATCAGAAATATTCTTTGTATGTCTGGTTTTTCTCTTGCATGGATATCTCAAGATGTTGGAAATGATAAACTATTTATATTCATGCTTAAGGAAAGATTAGTTGATATATTTTCACAAGATTGGCACTGTCAAATATCATCCTCAAGGTTTTTATGCCATTATACGAATATAAAATCTTTACTGAAAAATATGTATCTGTACTTCAGGATAGAACTTTGAGAAGATCTTTGTGTAAATTACGTATATCATTACATAATTTTAATGTTAACAATCTCGGAAAGAAAAATGTACAAGATAAAGAAAGTAGTTTATGCCGTTATTGTAATGAAGGCTATGTTGAGAATGAGTTTCATGTACTTCTCATTTGTAAATATTATCAGTTTCTTAGAAATAGATACCTCCCTATGATTTCAACTATGTACAAAGATGAACAACTGATGAGAAATTTGTTGAACTCCTGCAATGCAAATACAATATCATCTCTGTCAATATTCCTGAAGAAGATTTTTGAAATTAGACGTTAATATTTTATGTAAACTTATTATTACCTACACGTGACTGTACAATGTTGATACAAAAAACAAACACTACTGTACTATAGGTCATACGGCCTAAAATATTGAATAAACTTCTGTTCTGTTCTGTTCTGTTCTGTTCTGATAATGTATAACTTCTCGTCACGATATGGCTGAAATATTGCCGATGTGACGTAAAGCATAAACTCACTCACTCACTTCTATCACATTTCTATGAATTCGTGTGACGGTGTAAATGAATACATGTGTGATATCAATGAACGTGTATATTTATTATGAAGTAGGTGTTATTTGTTTCAAGGTATGTGTTCTGACTTCCGTCGCAAATAACACATCAGTACACTACGACATGCGTCTTATCGGCGCACTATCCTTGTTACACTTATCTACTCTGACCATAAATCGATTTGAGCAGATGTGTAACAGCGCCTGTAGCTTTGTGGTTTTCCGTACACGTGGTTTTGGTTTGTTGTTTAACGCCGCACTCAGCTATATTCAAGCTATATGACGGCGGTCTGTAAATAATCGAGTCTGGACCAGACAATCCAGTGATTAATATCATGAGCATCGATCAACGCAATTGGGATCGATGACATGCATCAACCAAGTCAGCGAGCCTGACAACCCGATCCCGTTAGTCGCCTTTTACGACAAGTATAGTCACCTTTTACGACAAGTATAGTCACCTTTTACGGCAAGCATGGGTTGCTGAAGACCTATTCTACCCCAGAATCATCACGGGTCCCGTACACGTGGTACCTTCCTACTCGAGGTCAACCTTTTTTCCTCTCCCATCACTCGTCCAGAGTCTCAGTATATTACATCAAATCGAGTGTCATGTCCCCGTTTTTTTCAGTGCATGCACTGCGGTGTGGTTACGCGTTTCTCACTGAACACGCTCATGCACTTGAATACACACCCATTTGAGTCCTACCTTATATCTGATCAGGATTATGAGACGTGCCCTCACTGATAGTGTACAACGTGGACTATACACACATCTGATCATGAGTTCACAACGTGTCATCATGATCTGCTATGCTTTTAACCAATCAACATTGTCACATGAGAGGCAAGACAGACCCGAACGCCTCAAAAAGACTTTCCCGTAGTTAGGCGAGCAGTGCAGGGTTTGTGGTCAAGAGTTCGTCTCGAAGCTCGGTCGCCTCCAGATGTCCATTAGGTAAGGAGCCTTGACTGTCCAGTTAGTTAAAATCTATACTGGTGTGCGAGTGTACATGGTTGTTTGTGTAAGAAATAAGAAGATACGGTTCTTGGACCTGTTTCGTCTGGACTTAGGATGAGGGCACTATAAGGCAATATATAGGTAGCCGCTAAAGAGTCCCACTTTTTGAATACCGCACTCAAACTTAAGCCCGGGTATTACCTTCAGAAGTAATGTCACAACCTTCGCTTCGAATGGCGACACTGATGGCACAACCAAAACATCAAACGTATGTCTGGATATCTGTCCAGATAGTTTAAACTGACTTCATTTCACCACGCTTAACCTTAAAAATCAAATTCAAAGTCGCAAAAGTGGTCGGGTGCTTCACGCTCATTCCATCGGTAGACATTGCATATGGATATAGCTCGATTATATAATGTCTGCAGCAGCTCGAATTTGTTTGCTTAAATAAAGTGTGTGTAAATGTCTCTCGCTTTTGTGAGAATCCTTCAGTACTGCCTCGCGTTTTTTTTTATGAAAAAAGTAGTTCGGGTGTGACAGAGGTCACGGTTATCCAATCAAAACGAATTAAACGAGTTTAACCTTGTAGGACACACGTGTGACCTACGGATTTAGTATTTTAACACCACACTTCACCACGTGGGTAATAAGCGAGGATAACACACCCATTCTTCGTCAGAAAATACCAGGGTTTTTTTCATGAAGCCATGCGCAGGCTCGATGACCGGTGACAACTCGCTGTTAGAGCTACACTTCAATGTACGCCATATCTAATACATCTTATCACTTTGCACTAACGTGTCCTCACGATGATGACAAACTGTATGATACTGACACTATCGACTTGCTGTGGATGCTATGTTATACAAGCCATCAGTGTGACGCCTTCAGTCATGTCATGTTTTCAAGTAAAGTTTTTCAACAAAATACTCAAACTTGGCATATTTATTCTGAATAAATAATTGTAATAGCCGTCTTGCGTACGGTTTGGAAATGGTGTTGAACATTATAAAAGAAGGATGAATGAAAACCATTTCCATAATCTTAAGAAATCTCCACTGAAAGCAGAGTCCATGGTACGATTCATGAATCACTGTCAAATAGTGATTGTACCTTGTGTTAGCGAAGAGGTGGGCGTATCCTGCTCCACCGATGACATCTATTGAAACACAAACAAAGGCGAGACGCTGGGTCATATTTAGATCTGTGCATAAAGAATTTCGGTGACAAAAACCCTGCACAAAAATGTATGACAAGAGGGATTACTTAATTTTCAAAATGTAAACTTTCCCTTTATGTCGAGCAGCATTGCAACAGCACCACCCTTGGGGACTCACACATCACAAAGTTTGAGGTACAATAGAGCATGCTCTATCTATAAACCTACAACACACTCAGTCAGTCGACGCTCGACACCCATCATCCCTCTCAGTTTCATCGTCCGACCCTCTCAGTCTACACCCTCCAACCCTCTCAGGCAACACCGTCCAACCCTCTCAGGCAACACTGTCCTACCTTCTCAGTCTACACCGTCCAACCCACTCAGTCTACACCCTCCAACCCACACAGTCTACACCTTCCAACCCTTTCAGTCTACACCCTCCAACCCACTCAGTCTACACCTTCCAACCCTTTCAGTCTACACCGTCCAACCCACTCAGTCTACACCGTCCAACCCTCTCAGTCTACACCTTCCAACCCTTTCAGTATACACCCTCCAACCCTCTCAGTCAACACCCTCCAACCGTCTCAGTCAACACCCTCCAACCCTCTCAGTCACCACCCTCCAACCCTCTCAGTCTACACCCTCAAACCCTCTCAGGCCACACCCTCCACTCCTCTCAGTCTACACCCTCCAGCAATCTCATTCTACACCCTCCAAGCCTCTCAGTCTACACCCTCCAACCCTCTTAGGCCACACCCTTCAACCCTCTCAGTCTACACCCTCCAACCCTCTCAGGCCACACCCTCCAACCCTCTCATTCTACACCCTCCAGTAATCTCAGTCTACACCCTCCAAGCCTCTCAGTCTACACCCTCCAACCCTCTTAGGCCACATCCTCCAACCCTCTCAGTCTACACCCTCCAGCTATCACAGTCTACACCCTCCAAGCCTCTCAGTCTACACCCTCCAACCCTCTCAGTCTACACCCTCCAGCAATCTCAGTCTACACCCTCCAAGCCTCTCAGTCTACACCTTCCAAACCTCTCAGTCAACACCCTCCAAGCCTCTCAGTCAACACCCTCAAACCCTCTCAGTCTACACCTTCCAACCGTTTCAGTATACACCCTCCAACCCTCTCAGTCAACACCCTCCAACCGTCTCAGTCTACACCCACAAACCCTCTCAGTCTACACCCTCCAGCAATCTGTCTACACCCTCCAAGCCTCTCAGTCTACACCCTCCACGCCTCTCAGTCAACACCCTCCAAGCCTCTCAGTCACCACCCTCCAACCCACTCAGTCTACACCCTCAAACCCTTTCAGGCCACACCCTCCACTCCTCTCAGTCTACACCCTCCAGCAATCTCATTCTACACCCTCCAAGCCTCTCAGTCTACACCCTCGAACCCTCTTAGGCCACACCCTCCAACCCTCTCAGTCTACACCCTCCAACCCTCTCAGGCCACAACCTCCAACCCTATCATTCTACACCCTCCAGTAATCTCAGTCTACACCCTCCAACCCTCTTAGACCACATCCTCCAACCCTCTCAGTCTACACCCTCCAGCAATCTCAGTCTACACCCTCCAAGCCTCTCAGTCTACACCTTCCAAACCTCTCAGTCAACACCCTCCAAGCCTCTCAGTCAACGCCCTCAAACCCTCTCAGTCTACACCCTCCAACCCTCTCAGTCTACACCCTCCAAGCCTCTCAGTCAACCCCCTCCAACCCTCTCAGGCCACACCCTCCACTCCTCTCAGTCTACACCCTCCAGCAATCTCATTCTACACCCTCCAAGCATTTCAGTCTACACCCTCTAACCCTCTTAGGCCACACCCTCAAACCCTCTCAGGCCACACCCTCCACTCCTCCCAGTCTACACCCTCCAGCAATCTCATTCTACACCCTCCAAGCCTCTCATTCTACACCCTCCAACCCTCTCAGTCTACACCCTCCAACCCTCTCAGGCCACACCCTCCACTCCTCTCAGTCTACACCCTCCAACCCTCTCAGTCAACACCCTCCAACCCTCTCAGGCCACAACCTCCAACCCTCTCATTCTACACCCTCCAGCAATCTTAGTCTACACCCTCCAAGCCTCTCAGTCTACACCTTCCAAACCTCTCAGTCAACACCCTCCAAGCCTCTCAGTCAACCCACTCCAACCCTCTCAGGCCACAACCTCCAACCCTCTCATTCTACACCCTCCAGCAATCTCAGTCTACATCCTCCAAGCCTCTCAGTCTACACCCTCCAACCCTCTCAGGCCACAACCTCCAACCCTCTCATTCTACACCCTCCAGCAATCTCATTCTACACCCTCCAAGCCTCTCAGTCTACACCCTCCAACCCTATCAGGCCACAACCTCCAACCCTCTCAGTCAACAACCTCCAACCCTCTCAGTCAACACCTTCAAACCCTCTCAGGCCACAACCTCCAACCCTCTCAGTCCACTACGTCCAACCCTCTCAGTCTACACCCTCCAACCCTATCAGTCTACATCCTCCAACCATGTCAGTGTACACCCTCCAGAAATGTCAGTCTACACCCTCCAAGCCTCTCAGTCTACACCCTCCAACCCTCTCAGTCAACACCCTCCAACCCTCTCAGTCGACACCCTCCCACCCTCTCAGTCTACACCCTCCAGCAATCTCAGTCTACACAGTCCAACCATCTCAGTTACACCCTTCAACCCTATCAGTCTACACCCTCCAACCCTCTCAGTCTACACCCTCCAACCCTCTCAGTCAACACCCTCCAACCCTCTCAGTCTACACCCACCAACCCTCTCAGTCTACACCCTCCAGCAATCTCAGTCTACACCGTCCAACCCTCTCAGTCAACACCCTCCAACCCTCTCAGGCCACAACCTCCAACCCTCTCATTCTACACCCTCCAGCAATCTCAGTCTACATCCTCCAAGCCTCTCAGTCTACACCCTCCAACCCTATCAGGCCACAACCTCCAACCCTCTCATTCTACACCCTCCAGCAATCTCATTCTACACCCTCCAAGCCTCTCAGTCTACACCCTCCAACCCTATCAGGCCACAACCTCCAACCCTCTCAGTCTACACCCTCCAACCCTCTCAGTCTACACCCTCCAACCCTCTTAGGCCACACCCTCCAACCCTCTCAGTCTACACCCTCCAACCCTCTTAGGCCACACCCTCCAACCCTCTCAGTCTACACCCTCCAACCCTCTTAGGCCACACCCTCCAACCCTCTCAGGCCACAACCTCCAACCCTCTCAGGCCACAAACCTCCAACCCTCTCATTCTACACCCTCCAAGCCTCTCAGTCTACACCCTCAAACCCTCTCAGTCTACACCCTCAAACCCTCTCAGGCCACAACCTCCAAGCCTCTCAGTCTACACCCTCCAACCCTCTCAGTCTACACCCCCAAACCCCCTCAGTCAACACCCTCCAACCCTCTCAGTCTACACCCTCCAGCAATCTCAGTCTACACCGTCCAACCGTCTCAGTCTACACCCTCCAACCGTCTCAGTCTACACCCTCCAACCCTCTTAGACCACACCCTCCAACCTTCTCAGTCAACACCCTCCAGCAATCTGTCTACACCCTCCAAGCCGCTCAGTCTACACCCTCCAAGCCTCTTAGTCAACCCCCTCCAACCCTCTCGGGCAACACCCTCCAACCGTCTCAGTCAACACCCTCCAATCCTCTGAGTTTACACCCTCCAGCAATCTCAGTCTACACCGTCCAACCCTCTCAGTCTACACCCTCCAACCCTCTCAGGCCACAACCTCAAACCCTCTCAGTCCACTACGTCCAACCCAACCCTATACCCTCGAACCCTCTCAGTGTAC